TGTCACATCGTATTTCTAGGTAGAAGGGGTGACACCTTTGTTTCATAGGTGAGGAAATAAAGATACACACAGAAGAGCTGTGTTCACGGAGTCCTCGTGAGACCCTGCTAACGGGAGAATGGAAATATTTCCCCATCCACCGCGGGCAAGTCTCAGTCGTTCTCTTAAATTCTCCCTTAAGAACCAGTTTGGGCGCATGACGAAATTCGATGAACTTGCTTTAGCATAAGACTGTTAAAAATTTTTCCTTTTAATGGCCAATCCCACAAACCACCTCTGTACAATGACTGAATTTTCATGAAATGGCACGAGATTGGCTTAGAGTAAACTTTAATGGTACCCGAGGCTTTTGTCGGATCATCTATTCCAGGTGAGGAAGACCAGCTCGTAGACATTTAATAGCTTCTCCCTAATACCATTTCTGAGATGAAAAGCACTTTAACTTTCTAAAACAACAAGAAAAGGGGGAAAGATTCTTAAATGTAAAATAACACGTCATTTCACAAACCAAGGGGGGAAAGCCTTGAACGCCTTTGCAGATGCTCTATTTGACAAGTCAGAGCTATGAGGGAGTTCTTGTAGCTGCTTAGTAAACAGCTGGAAGGAGGAATCCCACAGGAAAGAAGAGGTGATATCTGTGTTCTGCTGGCACCCCCTAGGCAGCCCCCTGAGCCGTCACGCCAGTGGGTGTGCAGTAGCTACTCCGTTCCGCCACGGCCTGTCTCAGCTGTCATCTTTTATTACAGATCTGTCTCAAGCCAAACCTTTGCAGCCTGCAGCCTGATCATGTGAAAAGTCAGGGAAAAGGAAAACAAAACACCTGCGGGCAAAAATAAAGAAAATCAATTACAATTAAGGGGCTACCTCTGAACCATTGTCTTGTTAAATGACCTCCTTCCCAGGAGGCCAGATTGCCCACAATTCTCCCATTATCTCCTAATTTCTCACCCTCTCTGGTATTAAAGTAACCTCACAGAGTTCCCAGATCTACTGCAGAGAATTCTGAGATCCTGATTTTTCTGGCCAGAGATAAACAAGAGAGAAGGAGAGTGAAAAGAATGAGTAATAAATCACAAACATGGTCAAGGGTATCACAAGAAGTCAATGAACATTTCGGTGCTTATAAATATAGCATCTTAAATATGGCCCAAGAGAGGCCCCTGCTGGTCAGACAGGGTGCAGGAGGATTTGGGACTGTGCACATCGTGCTCCTCGAGCAAGTGTTGAATCGTCACAGATGCCTGAAGAGACCTGTTTGCAGGGATCTGTCAAGCATTGATGATTTCGCAGCCTGGAAAGCACCTCAGGGTGACACGCGGCCATGTCCCTCTCAGGGGACTTCCACATCCACCGCCTCCGCCGAACTTCCCAGCAAGCCCATGAAGGAAGGCAGCCGTGACATGCCAATTTCGGTTCTGAGAAGATTAAGGTTCACAGGAGTTGGGGGCGTTGAGTGGCGCTGGACCTTTAGCCGGAACTCTTCCTGCCTCAGTTTGCTAGCTGCTCATGTGTAAGTCAATTTTTGTGGGTTTGGTTTTTATTCGTTTGTTTGTCTGTTTTTAGCTTCACAGAAAGAAACCAAAGCAAACCACTAAATTCTAGGTGCAGGGTCATGCCAGGTAGGCACACTCCTTACAATCACTCAATCTTTCTTTTTTTTTTTTTTCTTTTTGAGACAGGGTCTTGCTCTGTAGCCCAAGCTGGAGTGCAGTGGTGTGATCACAGCTCACTGCAACCTCAAACTCCAGTAGCTGGGACTTACAGGCAGTAGCTATCACATCCAACTTTTTTTTTGTGGTAGAAACCAGGTCTCACTATGTTGCTCAGGCTGGTCTTGAACTCGCAGACTCAAGCGACCCTCCTGCCTTGGCTCCCAAAGTGCTGGGATTACAGGAGTGATCCACCACACCTGGCCTCCCACTCAATCTTTTAAACGCATCATGTACTCCAGGGAGGGAGGAAACTCTTTTTATCAAAATCTAGTTTTCCCATTGAACTTTTAATTTCCTGAACTCTCCATGAAACGCATTCCATCCAGGTTCAACTAGTGAGAACATTTAGTCTCTTGGGTCACAGTACGGGGATGGAACTCAACTAGAAATTTCGCCAAGGAAGACATTTGCTCTGTGACTGACAGGAAGGAGGGAACATATCTATACGTATAGCTCAAAGGCAGGGGGAGAGAGGGATTTGTTTCGTTTCTAGGAAACATATGTCCCACAGCACAACCAAAATGCAGCTGGCAGGATTTACCAGATTGCTGCTCACCCAGCCCCGGGAATGTCCAAGTTCTTGGCGGGAGAGGCATGTACATTGCAGGAGATCTTCAGCAAGTCTGTGCCTGAGAAACCCAGATGTCCCCTCTCCTCATCTATAAAGCACCACCCTCCTGATTGCCTCTTCCCTGAAACCAAAATTACACGCAGAGAATTTAAAATAGGTTCTCACAGCAGATTGCAACATCGTACAAAAAAGAGCCGCACTTATTAATTCCATAAATAATACTTTTCTTGGCTGAGCACGAGCCATTATTATAAACATAATCTCATTGATCCTCATAATCTTTCCTGCATTTTTTTCTCTCTGCAGGTAGCCAGCTATACGTGTTGGGTCAGAGTTTGGATTCCACCAGTGGGTTCCGTCATTGCTGGACTGCCTTCAAATCCACCTGCAGAGAAGAGAAAGAGATTTCTGAATTCAAGTCCCAGGAAAGTCAGACGTAGGCAGTATCTAACAAGCCTTTTGTACTATGCAAAGTCCAAAGAGCTAAACTAAAGCATATGCACACATACACTTAGACCATTTACGATCCTTTTTTATTTAAAATGATTATAATTAAGAGAACAGTCCTGGAATACAGGAGATTTGGGCTCTAGGCCCAATTAAGTCTGTTCTCATCATCCTTGTCCCCTTCTTTCTCTTCTCTCCAGCCCTAATACATCCAAGGACCTGCCTGAGCCAATGGCTCCACTTAGCTTCCCCTCCTCCGAGACCAGGTCACTAAATTAAATGCCTCTTACGGGGGAGGTAACTGATATCCCCACATCTCACTGACAGAGTCCTCCACTTGCAGAGCACTAAGGAACCATGTAGCCAGCATGCCTTGTCACACAGAGGAGGAAACTGAGGCCCAGAGGAGAGAAGTGACCTGCCAAGTACTGATGGACGTGGGATAAGAACCCACATCTCTCCCCGGCTCATGACCTCTCCCCGCCTCTCCCAGCACCCATTGCTTTGAGGAGCATTTGCAGTTTTCCGTGGAAACAAATATCAAGGCTCTGATTCTCTCATGGTGGGATTTGAACATCAGCAGAGAGGCCAGAGTGTCCCTTCCCAGTGCCACCCAAATAATATCACACTGGTTTGTAAACCTAAAGTTGAGGGCAGACGCCAGCGGTGGAAGGAACACAGCCTCGCTCGGCTGTGTTCCCTCTGGGGCGGTGGCCGAGAGGGAGCCCCAGCTCCGCCCCGCCACCTTCTCCTCCCAGCTGTTGTCTGGGCACCTGCGTGGTTCAAACCACCAATATTTGTTGTTTTGATCTTCTCTCATTACTCAACAAAAAGAGGCACATTCATTCAAATAGCTTTATGCCAAAACCAATTTTGGATTTTTTTTTTTTTTGAAGTTTTAATCAATTGTTTTGGCATCCTAGAGATATATCGAGCAGGCTGGTATTCTCCATCCTGGCACGTATTTCATTGTCAAGATTTCTTTAGCACAGTTCAAAGTGTCCACCATTTTCATGAGTGCATTGGTTCACCCTTTTTTTTATTATTATTATCTGCTGGAGTGAAGGGTGCTTCTTCTTTCTCAGCCATTCCATGTGAGGGGACCAGAGGATATTCATCAGTTCTAGAACTACACCCAGATGGCTCCTTCTCCTCTTGACGAAGGTAAGCTGGTTTATCCTGCCCCATAGCAGGTCTTTCTGCCATCCTGCACCCTCCCACCTGCCCGAGTTAGGGCAGCACTTAAGCTCTAACTCAGAGTCACGCCTTCCCTTGGGCAATTCCTAGATCCAAACAAGACTGACCCCAAGAAGTACAGACAGGCACAGATGAGAAGCCCAGCCCATGACCTGGAGCAGTTGTCTATTTCTAGGGTACACACGAAAAGCATGAACACAACACTCAAAGTATCTCTCGTCTACTCCACTGGAACATGAAGACTCTCAGGGCAATCTGAGTCATATAACTCTCTAAAGGACACAGACAAAGCCTGGACTAAATGCCTGTGGCAAATCTATGGCCAGTCATTAACAACAAAAGTACTCCCTGTACACCGTGAGGACAGTCACTCAGCAAACACACACAAGGGACACCTCAGCCAGCCATGGGCTCATCCCACATCCTGAGCACCTTATCCCACACACAGTAAGGATAGAAGATGCCCCCCCAAACCCTAACACAATGAAGTATGAAGCGTGATATTACAATGCAATCAGCATTCGTTTTATTAAGGGGTTTAGAGAAGTTAAACTAATATCTCTCTATTGATGGCATGCATAACAGATGTTTCTTTCATCTGTGCAGAAAAACAAAAACAAAACCAAAACTCGTAATAATTATCCACAAGAAAATATGAAAACATTAATGAGCTCTATGAATGCAAGAGAACACGCTTTACATAAAGCACATGACGAAGAATATGACAATAGGACCAGCAAGAGTGTCGCATATAGAACAGCCTCGCCATAATCAGTAAGCTGACGCTCTCCAATGAATTGTTTCAGCTTCATTGGCGCATTTGAATGTCACCTGCTCTTTTTCAACAAAAAGTGTTATCTAAATTAAATCCGTACAGACAGTATATCAGAGTCTCTCCTGTGAAGTCCATTTGTCCTAAGCCCAGAGGCCTTTGTGGCTATTAATGTCCTCAGGAACTTGGTTGAGTGATAAGATTTTACAGGTGCCAACGTGAGTGTGCGTCCTGTCTTCACCGGCGTTTGCATTTGCACGGGACAGCTGTGCACACTCAGCACTGCTTGGTGCTCTTTTGTTCACACCCACTCGGATTTTTTGGTCCTCAGATGGGGGGCACTGCCAGAGGTGGCCAGCCGGGCGGGGAGCTGGAGCTGGCTGCATGAGTAGCGCCCGCCCAAGCCACTCCCGGCGACAGAGCCTTTGCCCCTGGGGTCCTGGGTGGCCTGTCTGTGGGGTGTGCCCCCGGGCTCTTTGCAAGCCACGGACAGCTTGTCGCTGGCTGAGGACATCACCTCATTCTCGTCTTCATCTGGAAGCTGCATCCGCCCCGATGCGCCAGGTTCACCGTTGGCACCCTTCCCTGGGGACCACGTGCCAGGGCGAGCGGGCGTCCCCTCTTCCTCCCACCCGCCCTGCTGGCCTCCCGAAGCCTGGCTGGGAGGAAGTGACCCGGCTCCACACTCCTCCCTGACCGAGGGGCCCTTCGCCCCCTGGCTGGGGCCTCGGCCCCTGCGCGTCCTGCGCCGCACGCTCCACACCAGGTCGGCGACACCGAGCAGGAAGGACAGCGCGCTGACCGCCCAGATGAAGAGCATCATGATGGATTTTTCCGTGGGCCGAGACACGTAACAATCCACCACGCTGGTGCAAGGGGAGCGGGTGCAAGAGAATCTCTTTGGGACCAAGAATCCAAAGAGGAGGTAATGCAGAGCCCCAAAAGCTGCCTCCAGCAGGGTCCGCAGGAGCAGGTGGACGATGTAGCCGGAGGAGAAGTCCGGCACGCTCAGGTGGCACCGCTCCCTGCAGGGCCCTGGGCAGCGCCTCGTCCCAGGGCCCGGGTCGCAGGCGTCCAGGTCCCCGGACGCTCCATCCGACCCGCAGGGTCCCCGCGCGGCGAGCACTGCTCCTTGGTGGACGACGTAGACGCTGAACACGGCGTAGGGGAGCAGGACAGACACGCTCTGGATCACCCAGAACCGCAGGTGCGACACGGGGGAGAAGATGTCGTAGCAAACGTTGGCGCATCCGGGCTGCAGAGTATTGCAGACAAACCTCTCCTGCTCGTCCTGGTAGATGGGGTACCCGGCCAAGATGATCACCGCCATCCTCAGCAATACCATCAGGATAAGCCAGATCTTTCCTAAGGAAAGAAGCAGCAGGAATGGCCTTGTCACCACCGTATCAACGTGTTTCCTCCCAGCGACAGCTTTTAATTATTTACTGGGACTGAGATTGGACAGTTGAGACGTCAATAATCTCAGCAAGAGAACCAGCCACTTAATGCATTTGACAAATATTTATTGAGCACTGAACATACTTGGATTTTTTTGTTTTGTTTTGTTGGGTTTTTTTTTGTTTTGTTTTTGGTGAGAACTTTGTTTATTTGGGATAATTGTAAGAGCAGTCCTGGTGCTCTCTTGGAATCAAGAAAAAAATACATAAACAAAAGAAGACATCCTAAAATGCGACCACAGACCATGAAAGTTCACTTTTCTTCATTATTAACATTCGAAATAAATGAAAATCTAGAGGGTGGCCAAAAACATACAAGAACATACATTAAAATGATTATTGATGTCACATTACGATATGTGATATCAAACCTACTTGTTTATTAAATGCTTAGAGATGAGCAGATTTTTCAAAAGCGTAGCATACCAAAAATGTTTTGATCTGACTCCACTAGTTCAAACTTTTGGTAATATCTCCTGGACTGAAAGGTCCAGAAAGAAAGTTTGGCTGGGCAGATTAATGATTTAAATAAGATCTTCCTCTCCTTAGGAGAATAAGCTTTTTAAAGGATTTTAGCATATTCCTGTAACTGTAGAGCAAATTCACGCTATTAATTTCATTTAGTCATCTTTACTTATGATAATGGCCCACTGAGATCTCTATTTAATCACAGGGCTTTTATTTAATGTTGGCCTATGGTCCCCGAAATTGAATTTTTTAAAGAACATTCAATTTTTCAGATTTTTTAATAATTCAGAATTCCTTTCCCCTTCTTCCAATTACCATGAATTAATGAGGCTTCTCTTTCTTCAATTTATCATGAATGAATGAGACCAATCTAGGAAACCAAAATAACTTCGAAGCCCTATTTTCATGTCAGGGGCCAACTATTTTGGAACATGCCAAAAACACAGTTAAAATAACTTCTAAATATTGCGTTTTGTGGTAATATAAAGAAAACATCATCTGACATATTAAAAAAAAAACTCTATTATAAATGCAGGCTGTCAGACTCAAAGAATAATGTCATTATGTGTTAAAAATCATTGACTTGAACGTTTAACACCAAGTCGATTTTGTTGAAATTCTACAAAATAAAAAATGAAAAAGAGAAGTATCACCACATCTCATATATTAGTCCTTTCTCCTCAATCCATTTTTCTGGGGCACCCATGTGTCGCTCTGAAAATTAGAGTCATCTGTATCAAACAGAAATCTTTATCATTTTCTTTATTAAAAAGATAAAGAGATTTGGTTTTAAAGTGCATTCGAGAAATGAGTAATCTTTACAAATTAAGCTTCAAGGATAAAACCTAAAAAGAGGAACGAGAAGAAAGCCGTCATCCAGGCATGACTTTCTTAGGAAATTTTACTGTTTTGCTCCTTTTCCTGGTAATGTGGCCACAGAAGGGATACACAAAAACACCCCCCCTCCACCTGCTTCAGTCTTCAGCCTCAGCACTCGCATGTCAGCGACAAGAGACCCTGCGGGGGGGAAAGGCTCACACCCAAGGCTCCCTTACAAGATGGAGCAACCGTGGGGACATTAGAGGAAACCTAAAGCCACAGCTCCCTTCCTCGCAGCAGACACAGACCTTTCTTTTGGGGCCAGGCAAACCGAAGATGAGGAAATACCTTGACCCTTTAAGAAGGACTTGATTCAAACACAGCAACAAAAACAAAAACAGAACAGGAGTTTGGAGGTTGTCCCGATACTCACCCACAATGGTCACGTTGCAGTTTAGGGTGACGATGAGGAACCCCAGAAAGTCCCAGCTTTCCATGCTTCCGGAATGGCACAGACTTGAGGCTGCCAGAGACTGTTGGAGGCCTGTGTTCTCCAAAGGAGGTGGGAAATCCTTGCAGGAATAAATGGATTTTAACGACAAAAGACTTAACGGTGAGAGTGGGAGATGGGAAAGCAAAGGTTTGAGCCCAGGAGCAGGAGGTGAGTTTTTCTGTCTCCAAGTTGAGATGGCCCTAAGCCGAGGCAAAGCATTCCTGACAACTGCAGCGCCCAGAACAGCACGAGTCATCTCTCATTGTGGGCTATTCTTACCCTCTCGGGATATTCCCGGCCCGTGGCAATGCTCATGTGTCCCCACCAGGACAGCCAGACGCTGCAGGATATAATAGAAGCAACTACTTTTAACCCAAGAAAGAAAACTTGCTAACCAGTCAAGCAAATTTCTCTGTTAAAAAGGCATTTGCACAACCACTGCACTTGTGCAAGAAGCCCTACTGTGTTTGTGTTTTGTCTTCTCTAGGCAGACTCACCACCCCACCGTGACACTAACCCACAGGGACCTTGCCTTTATTCGGAATTGCTATACCATTGCTGCAAGCAGAAATCCACGCCGCTGCTGTGTGTCCCAGCTCTAGACTGTGACTCGGTTATTATCCACCTGCTTCTTGTGTAGGTTAGTGACGGGAGCTCTTCGACTCGGAGACAAAAGGCCTGGGTGCAAATCTCAGGGCAGTCCCTCACTCACGGGGGAAGTGACTAGATCTCTCCAGAGATCCTCATCTTGCAATAAAGAGAACCATACCATTCCTGTTGGCATTTGCAGGAAGCTTACGTGAAAAGATGGCGTGAAATGCAAGCACCTAGCGTGTAGAGGATGTGGGTTTCAGTCCCCAACTGGCCTGTGCAGCCGTCCTAGGTTCCATCTTCCATTTGAATCTCCCAGTCCTATCTAGCCCGGGGCTGCTCTCATTGAATCTACTTAATAAATGTCTGTTAAATTTGTAATAAAATATCACCGTCTGGACCTGCCGACATCAATCACAGCTGCATCAAAATCCTATGGTGACGGCCACCTTTATATCTGGGAAGAACCCATCTTGCAAGGTTGGGGATCTATCATCAGGGTAGAAATTGTGAACTTTAAAAGGAATGATTTCAATTTTCCATGAAAGCTATTCCTTTATATTCCTATCTTTTCTTCATTTCTGATCTATTCTTGACTTTCGTAATATCCCTAGAAAGATTCCCAGAAGAGGAGTGCAACAAAGCTGCTTTCATCTTTACTCCAATGACACACTCCCATCCACGGAAAACATTTTGACCCCCTTGAAAGGAACGGTCGTCTTGCTGCATTTTAGTCAAATGCTTCAACGTGGGCTATGAAATTCGAGAAACTGTAGTTAAGTAAAAATATTGAAATAGTCATATGGTACAAGTAAAAAGTAAAGGACAATCTCTTTGTCTCCTAATAGACTGTTCATGAGATCGGCTTAAAAAATTGAAATGCCAGGAGAGCGATTACTGAATTGTGCTGTGTGATAGAAATAGCCTAACCCAAGTGTCGAATGAATTACAACTGCGTGACCTTGAGCAAATCACGAGAGTTTTTCATGCCTCGGTTTTCTCACCAGTAGAGAAAAGAATGTGCCCTTCGCCTACTCAGAAGGGTTGTGAGATGCAAAACGAGACCAGAGACGTGAAAATGATTTAAAGATTTAATGAGGTACCTGAGTGTCAGCGATGGGTACATCTCAGGGTCTGCTCCGCGGGGCGCCCACCTGTGTCTTTCCTTTTCAAGCGCATCCCATGAACAGCCAGCTGCCTGTCTCCCTCCCCACCCTGGTCACGTTTGCTCTTGCTCCTCTAAATCTACACCATCCTCGTTCCTTGTCTTTTTCCTCCATCTTCTTTTTTTCTCTCTCTCCTGTTAGGAGACACTTTTTGCCTTACCCGGAAACCCTAACCCAGTAGCTTCGAAGCCAGATCAGGACAGGAGAGGAGGAAGAGGAAGAGGTGCTGGAGCATGAACACCTGGCTGTCCCCAAGAGCAGCCCAGCATCCTTGGGGAGGTTCCCATGTGCTTGTTTACGGAGCAGAGAGACAGGTTGGGAGACCTCCGCACTCCACCCACCGGCCTCACTCGGGGACCTGGATGTGGCTGAATTATCCAACATGCCAAACTTGGATTATTAGTTCACAAAATGCAAGCAGTTCACAAACAGGAAAGAGAACAGTAGAGCTACATGCTATCTGGCCTTGGCCTCACCTCAATCTAGCTTAGTGACATCGACAAATTATTCAGGCCTCAGTTTTCCCATCTATAAGTTGGGGACAATGGTACTTAACTTACAGAGTGGAGAATTAGAGTTCACTTAAATAAGTTTCTATCGCATTATTTGGCCTGTAAGAGGCTGTCAAAACATGATAACTTCAGTCAATTCTCATTATTTGTGGTAGTTATCGGCTATAAAGTTGCCACAAACTCTGAATTAGTGAAGACTAGCGGCTTCTTGGGGAAACACATAGTTAGGTGACAAATTTTGTCAACCAATTAATACATAACTATGTTTTATGTGTGTTACTGTTCAAAGACACCTTATTTAATATAGTTCATATATATTTAATATATCCTAACTCATGGCCAAGAGCGCTATCACTCATGCCTGAATGAAGCACATCTAACACGTGTACTTTCTCCGCAAGACCCGTCACAGCCTTCC